CATTCGATTCGGGCAAATGTTCACTTAAGACCGGCTCATCTATAAACCAGAAAGTGTTGCGGATAACCCCGAGAGCGTCGTAAAAATTCGCGATAATTTTGATTGGCGACCGCGCAATCAAATTCACATGTTTTAACTCGGCATAACATTTCGGCGTATTAATTAACGGTTCGTACGATCAATATTTTCAAACCATTCAAATGTTCAAAGTCGAAAGGATAATAAACAAAACTTAAATATTTAGTCTAAATCCGTCTTTCAGTAAAATTAGTGTTGTGGAAATAAACAACTCTGGGGGGATCATTTATTATGAAGAACTGCCTAAGTAAAATAAATTTTTTCGATATCCCTGTAACGTTCGACGAGGTTTAGGCTCGGTTTATACAACACGTTCATAATTTTAATCGTAACTCTTACAAATGGGGTTAAAAAGTTCACGAATGAACGTAGAATTGTCCCTCGATCTAAACCACAGAATCTAAACTGGAATAGTAAGCACGTAATACAGAAGTACAATAAGGAAAAAACGGCTAGTATTGGGGATTCTTATCTTCCTCGTGCTGATTTGCACAATGAATAAGCTGTTCTTGTTGCTTAAAGACTTTGGCTACCGTTATATGTGTTATTTGGTAATGAAACAATATTTCCCTTAAATATTTGTAAAAAATTCAAAACATTTAAGTATTTTCTACTGTCGCTTAGAAAACTGTGGCATTAGAAAAAATATTTTAAAAACACACGTATATACGTATAAATAAACTTTCTTTTTAAATTGAACTATGACGACAACATCAGTAGACAGGACTACCAAAATACTGATTTTTTTGTTTTATATTGTTTATATTGATAGAGATACAAAAAAGGAAATCGATATGACAAGCTAAAAGAGCACAAATGATTGGAAGTGGACTCAGTCTTAAATACTCTAGCCCTAGTCGAACCAAACCCTAGGCAACTACCAGAAGGCTGGAGCAGTTTAGCATTTCAAAATCCCGTTATATATTGATAATAGGGGACAGACAAAAGCTTAATACAAACACTTAATAAGTCTTCCTCCTTAAAGTTTTGGACTCTAAACACTACAAGATTGATTTGGCAAAAAATCATACATAACCTAAGACTGTCAAATGTTTTATTATTATTACCTTTACATTGGTCAAGAATACGTTATGATTAGTAACAATGGAATTCGCAATACGCGCCAAATATGTATTATAAGTCAGTTTAGACTCGAACGGTATATGGTGTGTATCACTTTTTATTACGAAAAACAGTTTATTTTAAAATACTATTAACATGTGAATACTCCTCCAAAAAGTACCACCTTTTGTCTAATCTCTAAGAACCTGCTATACAATGCACGAAAATTGTCTCTTCTAAAGTTATACGATCCATTTGAGATGTTAACAGGAAGAGACTCAGAGACCGGGGTCTCTGTTCAACAAGAAAATACAAGAAATACAAAATAAGTAAGGATAAACGATTGAAATGGTTGACAAAGTACACGATAACAAACGATTTGGCATTAAACAATCAAAATAGATGGAAACCCCGAGAAACGAAGATAAACAATCTCTTATTGCATTCATCTTCCATTAGTAATAACGTGTTTGACAAAGAAAACAATCCACGTCACTACCAGTCCCAATTTAAATGAAATTTGCCTCACAAAATCCACATTACACATTACGTGCTTTTGACTTTGATAAATTCGAATATAATCAATACAAAGCAGAAGCTTGCTGCATTTCTAGATACAAAAAAAAGTGTGATAAGCTTGTCTTTGACTTCCTCTTGTGTATGCGTCAGCCGATCGGTCAACCCTAAACTTATACATTCCACGTTCTGTGCTAATGGTGGCTTGGTTCTATTGGGTGGTAAAAGTCACATGACAGCAAACCCTCTACGCAATACATGAAATATATGAAAAAAGAACATCGCTACTTACATTGTATTTGTAATTTATTTCAAGGTGATTTCTTGTGAATTTAAAAACGCTTTTTTTCTCAATATAGGGAAGCGATATTTTAATTCTTGCGATTAATAGTGTATAAATGGATGTAACTTTATAAAACACTATGATTCGGTTTGGTTGCTTATTTTTCGGGTATAAGTGTAAGTTAACACTTCGTTACACAGGAAAGGCACATAGGCTCATACCGGACAATATTGCGGTTGAGTTGATTAACCGTTCTGCTGCGACTAACAAGGCAGGTATTATTCGCAATTTATATGTCCGACCAGTCGCTTTATGCTATAATGGACCGTGGCTCATCTCAAAATGATCATTTTTCACTCGCCCAGTACTCACTATGGGTAATACTAATTGGGTAATTGCTAATAACTAATTTATAACATATAATCTTTGTTATTTCGGTCTTTGGATTATGTTCATGTAATCTTGTTTCGGCGGTACCTAAACTACTATGTCTCACCCAACTCCCTTGGATTTATTAAATATTAAATTGCTAGTTTATTGTTTCTTGCTTGTATTTTCTTACATTTTTTAATAGGGTTCTCATATCGTTTATATTAAAACTTTTATTCTTATTTCGGTTTTTTTCATATTTTAATATTGCGTATTTGTTTTTAAGAAAATAATTTTAATTTATTTTAAAGGTATCTCAATTTTCTAAAAATTTAAGTATATTTAGAAATTTTATTTTATTTTATTTATTTATAAAGTTTAAGGTACTTTATTTACTTTATTTTCTACATGAAACATAAGAAAAATGCACACTTAAATTTCAGATTGGTACAAAAGTAAAAACTAAAAGTAGAAGCTTAGGCTGCAATCACACCAGTCAAGGAGAGAAAAATAAATAACTAACTTAAGCTATGCTATGTTATGTCATGCTTGCTTGAATCTGATCCCTAAACCTACCCTGTACTGAAAAGGTCCCAATGCTCGTTCTCAATGCTTTGGAAATACTTTCGTAGAAACACAAAACTTCCCGTAGCAATAAAGTGACAGCGATTTTTTAAACCTTTTCGAATAAAACCTCATTACTCTAATATCACTGTGTTTTACATGAGAATCGAGCAAAACAAAACAAAACTTGCCTACTGTGACAACCATACTTAGAGTTAAAATTTGTGTAAATTTTTATATAAATAATTTATAACCTATATTTTGTTATTTCTATTTTTTTATTATTTTTATTTTATATATTTATTAAGTTTTATTTACTTCAAATCAAAGAAGTTTTGTTTTTATTAATTTTCGTAATTGAAAAGGGCCTTCAATTTCCACTCTACACCAGCTGGTAGTATTTAAGTCAAAATGAGATCAATCAATCAATATTATATAATAACAATAATAATAATAATAATCACGTTAGTGTTACAAATTAATTCTCTACATGTGCTTCGTTATTATTACGATACTGAATATTTTTCCGGGAATTTGTGATTAATATCAGTAAACTATATCAGTAAACTATAATTTTAATTTATATTTTCTATTTCTTTCACAATTAATGCAGTTTTTCTCGACAATGGGCCTTTATAAATTAGAATAACCCCAAATATTTTTGCGGAGAATATAAATATTTTTATTTCAATTAGGAGTTTAGCATTTTTATTTTAAAGAAAAACAACATTTTTATTCTTTCTCTATTTGCCGATGTGTATTCTTAAAAAATCATTGTCCATAATTTTAGGGGCCAAATTTCTTATTTCAATTGGTTAAAAAGAATTCTACAACGTCAGCACGAAAGTTAAAGACACGAACAAGACTAGCAACACCTAACTCTAAACATACACGCCACACAGTACCAGTAAACTGCATGGTCCAAGTGGTTCCTTATTTCTAGTCTTAACAAGAATACTCGAGCAAAATATCAAGTATGCCAAATTTTTGGAAGGTCATTTTTAAGTTTATGTCAAAAATATACAGAATATCCTTCACAAGAAATCATTTTATTTTTGGAAAATAATTAAAAAAGTGTATAATTCTATGTAAAAAGTTGCTTTGGAAATATTTTCATAGAAATACAAAACTTGCCATAACAAAAAAGAGACAACGATTTTTTAAAAATTTTCGGAAACATGTTTTCATGTGCAATTTTTGCCTACTGTGGCAACCATATTTAGAGTTAAAATTTATCGTAAATTATGATTTTTTTAATTGAAATGTGCAATTTTTAAATCCACGGTACGGTACATATACTACCGTCTGTTGATTTAATATTTTTTGAATTTCTAGTTTATTGTTTCTTTCCTTTATTTTGTTACATTTTTAATAGAGAGAGTTCTCATATAGTTTATTTTAATATTTTTTATTTTTTTCTAAGAAAATAATTTTACTTCATTCCAAAAAGGCCTTCAAATTGCGCGCTACACGAATTGGTAGTATTTAAGTCAAAATGAGATCAATCAATCAATATTGTGGAAAAATTTTGGCAATTAATTTTCTACATGTGCTTCGTTATTATTAAGAAACTGAATATTTTCCAGAAATTTGTGATTAATTGTATGCAATATCAATAAACTATAAGTCTCATTTATATATAAGAAATGTTTTAGTAGAAAGACAAAACTCTCCATAATAAAAAAAGACAGCGATTTAAAAAAAAATCGAATAACGCCTCATTAATATAATATGGAAACATACAAATATTTGCATCGAGCTACCTTCGTTTTTAAAATTAAATTAAACTAAATTTTTATTTATTTATTTATTTATTATTCACAACCAACAAACTCGCGGCTAAAAAATGGATTCTGCACTGTAAAAAGCTGTGGGGATATGGGATCTTAAAGTTTAATTTTGATGGCAAAAAAGGGCATTGAATTAGGTAATTAACTACAGGAAAATTTTGGGAATATCCTGGGATATACATTTTAAACGAGACTAACTTTAAGGGGGCCTTTTCAACAACTTCGAGCCAGTTTTTGCGGATAGTATACAAACAGACCCCAGATAAACTTGTGTTTCTGGTAATGAAGCGTTTTCGCAACTGAAGAAACGGTGAAGTTTGCACAAAATGTTTTCTTACCTTGGTCGACCATTGTCTGCGGTTGTCGGCTCTCTGTCTTCGAAATCGAACCAAATCCGACAGATCAAAAGCCGCAACCCAAAAAAGCAAACCAACACCGTGACCTGTGGCAGCGTGAGCGCAAAAGTTGGCGGAAAAGTTTCCGCAAAATATCGGAAGGTGAGCGTCGCGACGCGTTTTCCCGACGACGTAGTGTACAACCGGCGCCGGCCGGCAATCAACTGGTGGATATTCAGCGAGAAGCGTCCGAACGCGCGGAATTAGTTGCGCCAACTTTGATTCGCCGAAGAAGAACGAGAAGATCGGAAAGAAAAATTGCCTTAATTTAATCGACTTTAACGACTTAATTCGATACTAATCAGACGACGGAATCTCGACTTGAATGTTTTCTTTTAATTTGTCACTTAGCGTCGTTGTGATAGAGCTGAGGAGAATTTTATTATGTCGGGCGCATTTCTAAATTGCCGGTTTAATGTCGATTCGCCTTTGTTTCTCTGTTTTGTTTTGCTATACTAATTTAATTTCGAAAATGTACCAAGTACTTTAAGTGCAACATTAGGTTAGTTTTAAATGAAAGAAAAAAAGGTGTGGGTACGAAATATATTTCTTATTATTACATTATGTAGTGAATCATATTACAAAATAATAGTTCCGAGAAAATCAGTGGTTTAGCAAAATAAAAACAGAAATATTGGGATAACTCTCCTACCTATTACAAAATTAATAATTATTAACTATAATTATATACTGATATATATTTTTTGATTTCTTTTATTTTGATAGAAAAATTCTCAATAAAACAGTAAGTAATTTTATTATAAAAATATGTATAAAAATATAATACGGCAGGTAGCTATCTAACTTTTAAAAAAACAAAGTGGAAATTAGTAAAACAAAAATTTTGGTATGTATACAATAACTATAAAAAAAATTGAAAAGCTACTAACTAAAAAACAACCGACCTATAGTTTTTGATACAAGTCGTAAACAGTAAAAACAACGGACCTAGAGTTTTTCAAGGAAATTCCACAAGCTACTGCAATGCTTTTCATAAAACTTCTGGATTCCTCCTGCGTCGGTTTTTGTTTAGTCGAACTTGCTAATTATTCTGTTGGCTTCTTCGGAGATTGAAACTGACTCGCATTTACGCTGTACCTGCTAAAGGACATAAAAAATAGAGCGTATAGTAGACAACAGAACCAAAAAAACGAAAAACTCAAAAGAAACGCATATATTACATACAGCACAACGCAATACATTATTATGTACAATGTACGTGGATATATTATAAAATTTACTTAACATACTAAACACTTCTATAACTTTTTGTTTTTCAACAAAACTTTTGCTGCTGAACGATGCCAAAGTCTTCAGTTTTTTAATGCAATTCACATCAGCACTGCACTCACACTCCGACATGTTTACCTTTCATTAGACATCACGCCAAAAACCAACAAAACGAATAATCCCTCTATTATTCAATCATAATTTCTAATTTCTTAGCGATTACGCCGATTAGCGACTTGCGAATGCCAAAACAAAAACAATATCGTACACAATATTGCCAGATTTCCAATTAACACTGCCTAATATATTTTATGGCAGAATGATTTTGCAGTCAAATAAAATAGTAAATGAAATCATTTGGAAACAATATGCAGATGACTTGCAACCAAATTTCTAATTTTCTACATAATACACATCTTGATAAAACATCATAAAATTGATCGTTTGCCTAAAATAACGTGGGACCGTTTCTTACATAGTTCTGTAATAACATCGGCATTGGCTATACCGCATGCGGCGGACCGCGGTATCGCAGTGCATCCGACGGATCGGACGGTCCCGACTGCTTTCGTGTGTGCTTGCTTGCAGTAACGCACTGCTTTTGCTTGCCCATTTAAATGTAATGTTAAGCTTTGTCCGTGTGTTCGACTTTGAATAATGGGATGCGTTTTTTAGGTAATAATAAGACGTTGAACAGGTGGCGTTTGTTTTGTATGATGTTTCCGGCTTTTCAACCGTAATAAAGACTATACTAACTTACTATTTAGAAAAATAAAAATATGTAGGTCATTTTAATTAGGTATGTCTTACGTAATGAATGAGCGTTGTTAGATAAATAGATTTTCAATTTATGTTTGTCTTGAATAAACGAAAGGGTAGACAATGCTTTTTTGCCTATGTGTAATGCACGCCACTGTCTCACCATCATTTCAGATATATTAAAATCCTAGAATCTGGAACCAAACCTTCTCAACCTAATTGAAAAATGCTTGTCTGGAATATATTTTGTTGAACATAAGTAGGGAACAGCTATGGGTTCTCCGCTATCACGATCATCGCGAATATATTTGTGGAAGCCTTTGAGAAGAAAACTCTCGACACCTTCCATCTAAAACCGCTACCGTAGATTTTCTTAGACATTTAAACTCTATACACCCTAATATTGAATTACAATAACAAACTAAGAACAACCTCCCATTTTTAGATATTCTTATCAATAGAAAATCACACCTCACATCCCCCTCACTTAGCTCCGCCCTCATCAAAAAATATGTAAGCAGGTACGGAGTAAAATACGAGCCAGTTTCAGTCAAGCTCTTAAGATGCTAACACGATGATTGGCGAAACGTTAGCTAGTTCGACTAAACATAAACCTAGGCAGGAGGAATCCAGAAGTTTTATAAAAAGGACCTATAGTTTTTGGTAGAGAGCTTATTTTCTTAAAATTATGAGAAACAAGAATTATCATGGGACGTAAACAAAAGCTAAGCTTTCCCAAAGTAAAAGCAGCAACCAACTGACCTGGTTTTTGGGAAATAAACAAAAAGTACCCCTTTCAATGCACATTATAAGGGACTGTGGCGTATTTTAATAGCAATACTATTTAGCAAATACATTAAGTGAGATAACTTTTTCTTTGGAATAGGTATAACATCTCGATAACCGGTACTGTTGTTGTACCATTAACTAAAACTAGCTTTTTTTTATATGTGCCATTATTGCTCCCAGTGAGCGATAAATGTTTGTTTAGAGAATGGATACTTACGATATATACTTTGCATATATAAGGTAGCTTCTCCATTCGGCGTCAATGATCTTAGACCAATCAGCCTATTACCTGTGTTTAACAAGGTGTTGGAGAAGCTTGTTCATCTACAAGTACTTTCGTATACAGCTAGACATAATATAGTCCCATCAAACCAGTTACGTTTTCGGCCAAATCATAGCACGATTACTGCTTTACTGCATATTAATGATCTAATAATAAAAAAAATTGATAAAAATGTTTCAACGATACTGCATGACTTTTCAAAGGTATTCGATTGCGTGGAACATGAGTTATTGCGTGATAAATTAAAGCACTTTGCTTTGCTTGGAGAGTCCCACAGGGTTCGATTCTTGGACCTCTTGTATCTCCTGTACATATTTGATATGTCTAAGGAGGTGGAATTATCTCAAATTCATTCGTATACTGATGACACCCAGCTCTTACACTCATTTAACTCAATTAAATATTATATTATCGAAGTTCATCTTAGTTTAAATCTTAAAAGTCTTTCCCAACATAGTGAAAAATACAATCTTGAGCTAAATTAAAAAAAAACACAAATTATATCCTTCTATGCTATAATTTATTGTGTGATCAAATAAAATTCAATTGGAAAATGAAGATCTTCAATTTACAAATGAAGCAAAAAACTTAGGAGTGCTAATGGATGGTCAATAAGATATAGTGCCCACATTTCTAATTTATGTAAAACCACTTATATCTCTCAAAACGCAATATGCAAATAAATATACGAGGTGTGTTCAAAAAGTAAAGTGACTTTTGTAATTGAGCTGGCTACGAACATTCGATCTTCGACATATATAAAATAGAATACAGTGCTGCAGAACACTTTATCTACTTTGAGCAAAAAAAATGTTTATAAGTGGTACGAGATGTTCCAACAAGTCAATAACTGATCAAAACGTTGAAGAAATAAAACAATGGTGTGAAGATAAGTGGCTGAAGACCTCGGAATCTCTATTGCATGGCATGGTATGGCATGGCTCGTGCCATGCAATTATTTTCGAAGTTTTGGGAATAAAACGTGTAGCAGCAAAATTTGTTCCGAAACTGTTTAATTTTGAACAAAAAGACCGTCGAAGAAGCATCGTCCAAGAGCTTGTTAAACAATGTCAATGGTTGAACTGAGGTGGCTTTTACTTGATGAAAATCCATTTATCAAAATAAATAAGAAGTAAAGGTTCAGATTTTCACGAAATTATATATTATAACATGACAATTGTTTCGACAACACCGTGTCTTTATCAAATTTGATAAAGACACGGTGTTGTCGAAACAATTGTCATGTCATAATATATAATTTCGTGAAAATCTGAACTTTTAGTTCTTATTTATTTTGAATGTCAATGGTCTTGATATGCTCAAAAAGGTCGTAACTGGGGACGAATCATAGGTATACGGGTATGATGTCGAAACCAAAACCCAGTAGTCCCAATTGAAGAACACAGAATCAATACCGAAAAAGGCACATCGATCAAATGGGTTTTGCTTACTGTTTTCTTTGATCATCATGGCGTAGTACATCAAGAATTCTTACCACAAGATCGTACGGAGTATCGTAGTTTTTGTTCAAGTTATGCGCCGTTTGCAAAAAGCAATACGAAGAAAACGTCGGCAATTGTGGGAAAACAATTCATGATCACTCGTCGTTGATTGTGTCTAACTTTTTGGCCAAAAACAAAACCAGATTCATGCGTCAGGCACCATACTCGCTGGATATGGCCCCCTGCGACTTTTTCGTGTTCGCAAAACTCAAGAAACCCATGAAAGGAGGAGGCTTGGGACGATTGAGGAGATAAAGAAAAAATCGTTGGAAGAACTCAAGGCTATACCAGAAAGAGTTTCTAGGATTAAAAAAAAACGTTGGCACCAGTGTATTGTATGAGATGTTTAACTACATTGGTTTGTATTGGTATTAAATAATTTTGTCGAAATCTTCCGCAATAATTTAAAATATCTCAATAAAGACTCATCATATTATTATTCAAGGGATTGGAAGATGACAAAATATGTTTTTATAAATACCTTAGAATGGGGGGGATCAAATTTATGTACTATTGTCTAAAATTGAGAAATAAGTTGAGAAGAAGAACACTACCCTTCGAGAAGCTATTAGCGCAAAATAAAAGTTAATGGTCTGTGTAAGGTAAGGTTATTGATAAAAAATATACTGAATTTAACATAAATTCTATTGCATGATAAAGAATATTTTAAAAGAATTTATTCTGCTCTAGCTTTGTTCAAAATTATGTACCTAAGAACATTTCTTCTGTGACGAACTGGTGGTAATAAATTTCAGCTGAAGGGGCCGCAGGATTTGGAGATGAACATATGTTGGGGCGATGTCAGCGGAGTCTGTGTAACTGCTTTTGGTTCGATTCTACTCAGTTTTCTCGCCTCAGAAGAGAAAGGATAGTATATTTTTTGGAAAATGTTTTCTTAGAAAATTTCACACTTTCAGCTTTAAGCACGTCATCATGTTCATTCGCACTATTCTCTGCAGACTCTTCTCTATCATTGGTTTAAATTAATTAAATTTTTCTCCTCCATCGTTGACCTCTTCTTCAGAATTAAAGTGTTCATTAATGCTTCCTGAATCGTCAATGTTGCTTTTCGTTTTCCTCTATTTAAAAGAAGGGATTAAAAAAGGAATTCAGTTTTCACACTTCCAGTTTTTTCTAATACTCGCTGTTTGTTCACTTTTTGGCATATTCTTTTTCAAGGCCTACTTCAGCTGGACCCTCAACGAGATCAATCTAGCTGGAGACTCATTTTATTCTATATTATTTAGGAGCCGTTTAGGACATTCATAGTGCATTATATAGTCAAAGCTATAATTATAAGCGTACTTTTTCGATAGTTTTATTGGCTTTTTTGGGCGCCAATTATAAGTTTGTTGCAGTTTATGTTGGATCCTACGGAAAGAAAAGTGATGGAGGAATTTTTGCTAACTTAAATTCTGCAAATTTTTTAGAGCAAAATGAATGCTCCTAGAACTGACAATTGTCCACCCCATGTAATTGTCGGAGATTGGTCTTTTCTTCTTAAAACTTATTTGCTTAGAAGGGAAGCAGAGAAGGAACTTTTTAACTATAGATTATCGAGAAATTAACATAGGCAGGGTAGAAATGCAAGTGCAAGAATTGTACAAAACTTTTTTTACATCTGCAAATGGAGCCTTAGCGTGGTAGAATAATTAGTTTATATTTTCCCTCTATTGTTTCACTATTTATAAAATTAAATATACTACAGCTTTACTAACCGGGCATATTTACTTACGTATTTCTTATTTGACATATCGTATAGTTCGTTCTATTCTCTCACACACTCGATTAATTTTTCGTCATTCATCTTAGTTTGTTTATTACAAACAGAAAAATAGAAATAATGTTCCCCTCTAAAAATTTAAACTTCTAAAAAACCCAAAAAAAAAATTCTGTACTGAGCGCATACGGACAGGAACGTCAAACTTTTCTTGAGAAAAAACTCAGCAATTGAATCTCCAAAGATTATATTATGTGATACTAGGGACGAAAATAAACGGGAACCCAATCAAGAAAATGTTTGTGTTCCTTCCAAGGATCCATCCGTCTCACAGGCTGATAGGGTCGTACTTCCACATTTTTGAACCAATCAAGCCTACATCATTATTATTAAGTCCTATCCTATAATAAACCCAATTCATGATTATGTCATAAAGTTCTTTAGTGAAACTTTTTATAACCTAATAATAATACTCAATTTTTCAAATAAGTCAAGTTTTTCAACTTACTAACCATCTTCATCTTCAACTTCAACAAAAATTTATTCTCTATGACTATGAATAAGGAATTTTTTCTCAGTTTTACATAATTGTATATGTAAAGGGTTGGGGGAAGGTGGTTGTAAATCACCCTCAAAATTTAAACGAGAAAGAGCGGCCAGAAAACGGTAGGACATACAACACCCGAAACGGTTAATCACCCACCTTGATGGTTTCCCGCGTCGTCGTCTGCCCGTCCGGGTCTTCTTAGGGGTATTTTCTGGAGGGTTGGGGGTGGTATTTACCACAACACAGCGTGGGGTTCTCGCGAACCGGTCACAGAAGAGAGCTTGTTTTTTCGTGGTTCGCACTACGGACGCTCACGCAAGTCTGTCTTTTCGCGAGGCTTAACCAAGGTTGGGTATGGTGGGGGTGTTGTATACACAGCGCGAAAATAAAAAGTTAACCCAAGGGAAAAAAAAATATGAAGTTACCGAAAAATGTTATTCAACCCTTAACATTCTGGCCTCCCAAAAATACCCAATTTTTCCCATAAACTTATCCTATACTATATACACGGTTGCCCCTTGAACAGGTTAACAGTTAGGGACAAAAGATAATTTGACCAAAGGTCGATCGAAAGTGCCTTTGGCCGTGTGCACTTGCACAACGCGAATTTCCTTGTCGGAACTGGGGTACAAGCGCGTGATGCGGCCCAGAAGCCACTTTAACGGGGGGAGGTTCTCGTCTTTAATTAAAACCAACTGACCAACTTTCGGGGGGTTAGTCGTGGTGTTCCACTTGTGCCGTTGCTGCAGCTGGTGGAGGTATTCCCGATGCCATCTGTCCCAGAAGTGCTGATGCAACTGCTGCACGAGCTGCCAACGAGTGAGTCTGTTAGTGTTCAGATTAGCTAAAGAGTCGTCGGGAGGGGCAGATAGGGGCTCCAGGGTCAGAAAATGCCCAGGAGTAAGGCTATGCAAATCGTTTGGGTTGGAACTCAAACTACATAATGGGCGGGAATTCAGTATGGATTCCACCTGAGTTAACACTGTCGACATTTCCTCGAAAGTCAGGATTTGAGAGCCTATCACACGAAACAAATGGGTCTTTACCGACTTGACGCCGGCTTCCCAAAGACCTCCAAAGTGAGGACTGGAGGGTGGGTTAAAGTGCCAGCGCACCTCACACTGGTCGGCGGACTGCTGGCAATACTGTACCAACAACCGGTTAGCACCGACAAAATTTCTACCCTGATCACTATACATGTCAGTGCAACGCCCGCGGCGAGCGACAAAGCGCCGAAAAGCGGCCAAGAATGCGTCTGAGCTGAGTTCAGAAGCCAATTCCAAATGGATGGCTTTGGTAGCCATGCAAACGAATAGGCAAATGTAAGCCTTCTGAGTCTTAGCGCCGCGCCTTCGCGCTATGCGCGAATGGCTTGACTTGCGATACACGAACGGGGGGTAAATCAGCCATGAATGGCTGTACACAAGAAGGTTGGACACGGAAGCATCGGTAACACTGCGATAGGGTGTGACGAATTGCTCTGCGGGCGGACAAAATCCAGAATTGTTGTGAAATCTGGTACAACAACGATTGGGGGCCCGGATGGCAATTTTCCTTATGGAACTTTTCGATCACGAGTTCGGTAAAGCGATGGTCTCGAGGTAGTAGAAGAGGATGTTTTGCGTCGAAAGACAACGCAGAACCTCGGAGTCTGCCACCGACTCGAATGAGACCGTGCTCGTCGATAAAGGGCGATAGGGAGCGTAAAGGTTTGGGGCACAGTTTACCGTTTCGAAGACACTTCAACAAACCGGCGAACACCTCACGTTGGACGTATCCTGTCAGCAACGTGCGGGCGCGGTACGTGTCCGCAAAAGACAAATTATCAAGCGCTCGCTTCGGAACGGGGGTACGACAATTATTTAGAAACCTACCACAATAAGCCAGGATCCTCTCAATTTTTCGTAACGACGAGAAACGGGTTAACAGTTCTCCAAGCGCGTCAACTAAAGGGGTGGACACACAAGTCAACACTGGTTTACGTTCCAGTTCCAGATCGTCTCCGGGGGTGAAGTCGGAGGTGGGCCACTCTTCCACCGGAAGACGTAACCAGGGGGGACCACAGAACCAAGAGGGGTGAATTAATATTTGCTCGGGGAAAAGCCCTCGGGATGCGCAGTCAGCAGGGTTGGATGAACCGGCGACGTGATGCCAGGAACTACGGGAAATGATGTCCTGAATGAGGGACACGCGATTGGCCACAAAAGTTTTCCATCTATTAGGGGAGGACTTTATCCAAGACAACGCAATTTTGGAGTCACTCCAGGCGAATACTCTCGTGATAGTCAACTCAGAGGCTATAGTGGATCGGACGAAATCTACGAGTTGGGCGAGCAGCAACGCGGAGCACAACTCCAGACGGGGGATCGACACTCGCTTCAAAGGCGCTACCCGATTCTTTGCACACAGAAGGGTGACAGAGATATGGCCCTCTCTGACGCTTCGCAGATACACGGCTGCACCGTATCCGCGCTCCGAAGCGTCACAAAATCCGTGCGTCTCCACCTGGACGCCATTGCTAGGCAGTACCCGACGAGGGATTGTCAGCCCAGAAAGACTGTCCAGCTGAGACGAAAACGAACTCCAATCTTCGAATATGTCGCGGGGGGGAGGTGCATCCCAATCGACGCCCTGGGACCAAAGCCTCTGTAGGAGAATTTTGGCAGTCAACACGACCGGGGATAAAAAACCTAGGGGATCGTATATTTGGGCTACTTGCGACAAAATATTCCTTTTTGTGCACGTCCTATCCGCTACTTGGATGCGGTAGGAGAACACATCCCGTAAGGGACACCACTGCAATCCCAACACCTTTAAACTGGGATTGTCGTCTCCGCATAGGGAAACGGGTTGATGATGTGAAGCGGGGAGTGAACTCAATAACTCGGGGGAGTTGCTCGCCCATTTGCGCAACTCGAAACCACCCAATTTTAGCAGCGATACTAATTGATCCCTCAACTCACGGGCTTCCTCCAACGAGTCTGTTCCTCCGATAATGTCGTCGATGTAGGTTTGGCAATCTAGGAGACGGGCTGCTAACGGGTAACGCGCTCCTTCGTCCCTAGCAAGCTGACGCAACACGCGAATAGCCAAGTATGGGCTACAACTTAGTCCATAGACCACCGTTGACAAGACGTACTCTCGCACTGCTTTGCGGGGATCAAAACGCCACAGAATCCGCTGGAAGAGGTGGTCGGCGTCACTCACTAGGATTTGACGATACATCTGACGAATATCGGTGGTGAAAACCACACCGTACAGTCGAAAGATGAGCAAAATGGCTCCAATGTCGGGTTGGAGCTTGGGACCCGTAAATAGAAGATCGTTCAGAGACCGTCCGTTGGAAGTTTTAGCTGAAGCATCAAACACAACACGCAATTTAATGGGTTCGCTATGTGGCTTCCAGACGGCGTGATGAGGAATGTAGTAACCTTGGGGAGAGGGGGGCAGGTCGCTAACGAGTGCCATGTGACCTTGTTCCCAATAATCTTTCAAGAACTCGTTGTAGGCTAATCGCAAAGTTGGGTTCTTGGCCAAACGCGCCTCTAACAACTGGAATCGCCCAAGGGCTTGAGGGTAAGATTCACCAAGTGAAGGGTGTTTATCCTTAAAGGGTAAGGATACGACGTATCTACCTGAAGGGGCACGGGAATGGGTAGAGAGAAAGATCTCCTCGCACAATTTGTCTTCAGGAGACATAAAGGTCTTTGAAGGGACGGACTCGAGTTCCCAAAATCTCTTCAAAGAAACATCAGCAGCAGTACTCACAGTGGTATAAAAACTAAATGGAGAAGATGGTTCTAAAGAATTCACTTTTCCTAGGACAACCCATCCGAAGATGGTCCGAAAAGCGCATGGGCCACCGTTCTGTCCTTTTCTAAATCCAGGCAAACAAATATCTCCGTAAACCTCTGCCCCTAAAAGCACGTCTATTTCGTTGGGTTCACAGAAGTGGGGATCAGCCAAGGGTAGGGACCTGAGATGCTTTAGATTCTGCTTATCAATCACCTGGTAGGGTACCTTATCACAAATAGATGGAATAACTAAAGCCTCTATATGGAGAGCAGGGGATTTTCTTTGGGAGGGGGTCACGCTCAGGGCAACCTTCCCTAACGCAGACGTCGACATTTGGTTGAGGGCTTGAATTGGTGTCGGAGAGAGACCTTGGAAGCTCCAATTTCTTCGCAAAGGAATCTGTCACAAAACTGGCTTGACTAGCTGAATCCAACAGTGCACGACAAGTAACAAGTCTGCCAGATTTATCCGAAACGGACACCAAGCAAGTGGCAAAGAGCACGACCTTTTGAGAGGACTAGGGATAGTACCTTCCTGGTTGCCGGGAGCAGGGGGAGCTTCATTCGACGGGGAGGGGGTAGTAGCATTTCCAAAATGCACTAAAGTATGGTGGCGCTTGCCACATACACGACAATTAATCTTGGAGGGGCATCTTCCAACACCATGGGATCGCGGGAAGCAATTAAAGCACAAACGATGTTGCTTGATGAACACATGCCTTTGAGGGGGCTCAGGAGATAGGAAGGAATCACACTTTGTCAGAGGATGGTAGTCCATAGGGCAGTATAAACACTTACTGGTGCAACTCACATCAGCACTCGGAGTGGTAGACGTCGCTATCATAGATGTGGGTCTACGTGTATCGGTTGAAACTCGCTTGGAAACCTCAAGCCTCTTGGTACGGGTAATACCTTTTCAGGTAACTAAAGAGTTTTCTAAAGCTTTACAATTCTGTTCCAAAAAATCACATAAATCTTGAAAAGTTGGGATATCTTTATCACAAAATTTGAGTTCGAACCTCGTCTTGAGAGTCGAGTCGAGTTTCTCTAAGAGCAAATTGAATTTTGTAAAATCCCACAAGTCGATATCGAATTTATCGATAGCTGCAAGATTCTCTGAAAATGTTGAAAGCAATCTCCTCAGTTCAACAACCGAGTCACTCTTCATAGTCGGAGCCCGAAAGATCGACAGTCAATAATCGGTTAACAACAATCGATTGTTTTGATAACGCTTCACGAGGGCATTGTAAGCTATACTATAATTGGCATCCTTAATTGGCAAATTCTTCACGACACTGAGAGCATCCTTTTCCAAATAAGACACTAAAAATTGAAATTTTTCAATGTTTGAAAGGGAAGAATTATTATGGATCAACGTGTTAAACATATCAAAAAAAGTAGGCCAATTTTTTAATTCGCCGTCAAATTTCGGAATGATAATACGGGGGAGTCGGAGATTACTATTTCTTTGCGACTCTCGACCAACTACAGATGGTACCGGAGAGCCTACCTTAGGTTCCACTTTCTCAAATAATCGCTTGGCAATAGATCGAATTGAATAATGCAACTGATCAAAGTGATCTTGAACCGCAAACTGTCGATCTCTTTCCGAATCATTCGCTAAGGAGATTACTTCCAATTACAAGGACTCAAAAGTGCTAACTAAACTCGGCAAATCCTCCACCATGCACTGGAATTTGCATAAAATTTCATCATCATCAGGTTCAAGGCGAGCTTTCTGACCCGCTAACAATATATCGTTAAAGCGTCTAAGTGTTAAATCTCGCTTAGCAATAAATTTATCCATTTCCGACATTGTAAATCGCTTTGTAAACAAATGCACACCTAAGTCTCGAAACAAAGTACCCACGTAAATTAAAAGGAAGAAGAATTTGAGCACGCAGAAAATATGCTTAGAACGAATCAAATAAAAAACGACGGTAAACACTTTTTATGAAACCGCTTTTTTGCGCTCCAAACTTCACACGTTTTTTGCTAACCTGTTCACGATAGCGAACATGTATTTAAAATTACTAAAGTTTGTGAATGACTATAAAAATCCAAAAGACTGATTCTGATTTGGGGAGAAGGACCAATATGTAAAGGGTTGGGGGAAGGTGGTTGTAAATCACCCTCAAAATTTAAACGAGAAAGAGCGGCAAGAAAACGGTAGGACATACAAGGACAAACACCCGAAACGGTTAATCACCCACCTTGATGGTTTCCCGCGTCGTCGTCTGCCCGGCCGGGTCTTCTTAGGGGTATTTTCTGGAGGCTGGGGGTGGTATTTACCACAACACAGCGTGGGGTTCTCGCGAACCGGTCACAGAAGAGAGCTGGTTTTTTCGTGGTTCGCACTACGGACGCTCACGCAAGTCTGTCTTTTCGCGCGGCTTAACCAAGGTTGGGTATGGTGGGGGTGTTGTATACACAGCGCGAAAATAAAAAGTTAACCCAAAACAAAAAAATTATGAAGTTACCGAAAAATGTTATTCAACCCTTAACAGTATATATAAAATTTAAAAAATATATTATAATATTAATTTTATTATTACATTACATTACTATTAACAATTATAGCATACATTATCAAAAGTTAACAATTATCAATAATACATTTTTGGCCTAACTATGATATCTTAAGATACTCTGTGTTTGCCCCGTGACATTGTTTAAACAATTAAAGGTTGTTTCCTTAATTTAAAAGTTATACTATAGAAGTTTCATTATAATATTCTAGTCCATTCCAAATAAACTAAATCAAAACCGCTTAGCCTAATCCACTCTCTATTTGATGATTTAACTCTTAGTTCAAGAGACAGAGCAGAGACAGAGACACTTTTGGTCCAGTACAGTATATTTGTTCTTGGCACACTACATGTTTGAGGTTCTGTAGAGCCAATTCGTGCTAGGGCAGCAGACCTTGTGTTAATAAGCTTTTTTTTTAACACATGGTTTTAATAACCCATTTTTTAGTCACCTGCAACCCAAGCACATGCACATAGGCATTACCCCATACCATTAATCATTATATATTCTATCAAGGATAACATGATACCTAATTCACAGAACTTATAGATTAGTGTTCTGATTTTGATAGTTACGTAATTATAATTAATGTGTTACATTTATAGTCTCTGTCTTGCTCACAATAGGGCTCAGGAATTTTTACTTTTTGAATTCTGATTTTCTCGATAAAGTGAAGGTAGCAAAATTCTTCAACCTTCTTCACAATCACCGTTGTATCATCAATAAAACAAAACACATTTCTCTCATTAGTTACAGACATTATTCTGTTAATATAAATATTAAACATCAGCGGACCAAGCGCCGTGCCCTGCGGCACACAAAATCACACCAGTAACCTCACTCACTCGACGTATTTTCACACTCGGCGTTCTCTCGCTCAAATAGGATATAAATATGTCATTATTATTATTATCGTATGGCAATAACACAGTCTAGTTTTAAATGTTAATGTTTACAAAGGTTAAATCTTAATATCTAGGTTTTCAATCCAAACAACAGCCGATGGAGTGGCCCTCAAGAAGTCTGTGGTCGTACACTGGCTCTGTCTTTTTTCGCACTCGTATGCTAGGTGGCGGATGGTTTGTCGCCTTCCACAGTCGCAGCAGTTGGTTTCTGATTTGCCCCATTTGTGCAGAGAGTCCGCACAAACACCGCATTCTGTACGGATCCGATTTAGGGAGCACCAGGTTCCTCTCGGTAGTGTAGAACCTGGAACAGTTTGGTTAACGTGGAAAACGCTGCAGATATCTGGAGGAACGCTATTTTGCCACATCTGAGCCCATTCGTCTTGTAGGTGGAAGTTATTGGATATAAGCGCTGCCGCTGTTTGAATTGGAGGTTTTCTGGAGCGGAGCCTGTGCCCTAGTTGAGCGATATCTTCATGGATTTGGAGTTGGGGATTGTTTTGTATTTTTCTAAATTCTCTGCAGAGAGCTTCCGATCGCCGGAGATGGGCTGGTGGAATGTTGCAGAGCGCGGGGAGCCAATACGTGGGTGTGGATTTGATGGTTCCACTGATCATTCTAAGTGAGTTGTGGATTTGGACATCCACTAGTTTTGAGTGGGGGCTATTCGTCCAGACAGTATTCGGCCGAGGAGTAAACGAGGCCAAGAACGGAACATCGGAGCGTTTCGGCTGAGGCATCCCAGCTGGTGCCACACAGTTTGGATATTATGTTGTTTCTTGTCTTAAGTTTGGCGGCTACGTTGCTTAAATGTTTTTTAAAGGGGAGTGTACGGTCTAAGGTGACGCCCAGGTATTTCGGGTGCTTGTTATGTTTTAGTCGGGTTCCGTTAAATTCGACGTTCAGTTCTGTGTTCGCCAACTTGTTGTTAAGGTGGAAGCAAGAAGTCTTAGTTTTGGTCACACTCGGTTTCAATCTCCATTTAGCAAAGAAATCATTCATGGCCATCAGATCTTCGCACAGTACATCTTCTGCAACGTGGAGGTTTTTATGTCTGAAGCCAAGAGCCATGTCGTCGGCATAGTTAAATTTTTTAGAGCGAGTTTCAGGTAGGTCTGACACATAAAGGTTAAATAGCAGAGGGGCAAGGACGGACCCCTGCGGTAAACCATTATTTAGTACTCTCTTTTTACTTGATTGATCATTCAAATGCACTTGGAATGAGCGATTGCTAAGCATGTTGTCGATAAGGCTTGTAGTTGCTTTGCATTTGGTGATGTTCAGAAGTTTGTATATAAGACCCTGGCGCCAGACCGTATCATAAGCCGCGGTTAAATCTATGAAAACGAATGCCGATTTCTCCTGATTTTGGAAACCAGCTTCTATGAAGGTTGTAAGGCTGAGAACTTGATCGCAGCAGCTTCGGTTTTTTCTGAATCCCGCCTGCTCTATTGGGATATGCATCATGATTATGTCGGATATGCGGTTGTATATAAGTTTTTCCAGTAGTTTATAGCAGGAGCTGAGTAATGCGATGGGTATATAGCTCTCGGGTCTGTCTTTATCTTTACCAGGCTTGAGCAATGAGATTATTTTTGAGTTTTTTAGTTTTGGTGGTATATAACCATTGTGGAGAATCTCAGAGTAGAACTTAGCCAGCCAAGCCTTTGTTACAGATCCACTATAGGACAAGAACTCTACATGCAACCCATCATAGCCGGGCGCTTTACCTGTTTTCATTTCCTTTATAGCGTTTTCAATCTCCTCTGTTGAGAAGGGTTTAGCGAAATCGGATTCTCTTGTGGTGTTCTTTTTTAGCTGGGATAGCTGTTTTCTAATTTTGGTTGTGTGACTTTTGTCGTTGGGCGCTCTGGAAGTTGAAACAATATGGTCCGCTACCTGATCTGCGGATACCGCGGGGTCATTTCTCACAGGTGGAGAACCTGATCCGAGTTTTCTTATGAGGCTCCAGGCTTTTCGGCTCGAGTGTTTGAAGTCCACATTGGCGACGGTTTGAGACCATTTATCACGTCTAGCGTTGTCAAGGCTCTGCAGTATTTCGTCAGCGAGATCAGGGTCTCCGCTGTTGAGATATTCCTCATATAAGGATTGACTGTCCTCATGCCAGCCGGGAATGTACTCTTTTCTATATCCTCGAGGGATGGACTTTTTTGCGGCGGCGATCACCGCTCCACAGAATCTGTCATAATTTTTGGGCTTAGCCGGGATCCAGTGCAGAGTTCTATCCAGAATGTGTTGGAATTTTCCCCAGTCCGCTTTATTGAAATTCCATCTTGGCTTTGGTGTTGAATTTATAAGTGGGATTTGGACTCCTACTGTCACCAGAACAGGCCTATGTTGGCTATGGGGAAAGCATGACAGCACTTTCCTTTCTGTTGCTAGGAGGGTGTTGTCTAGTTTTCTGGTGACAAAGCAAAGATCGGGGTTAGAGTCTCTGTTCCAGGCGGCGGATCTAAATGTCCCTGGCTGCTTGGCATCGTGAACTAGGTAGAGATTACTGATCTCCGCCCAGCTGGTTAATTCGGTACCAGCAACGTCTTCATTAAGGTAGCCCCAGGCAGTGCTGTGGCTGTTGAAGTCACCAATATAGACCGCGGGGCGAGTTTCCATTGGTAAAGCTGCTTCCGGCCAGGTCATACCAGGCGGCTTGTACACATTGATTATCGAGAGAAGGTCGATCTTGACGGTTATTATGTAGACACTGTTCGTGCACTTGGATGATACTAAGGATACATTTTTTATAGAGCTCCTGACGTATGTGGCTGAGCCATGGGCATGATGGAAAAGAGATGCAAGTGCGGTATAACCAAGGATACGACCTCTTTTTTGAAATTCTTCTTCGCTGTTTGTGTGGGTTTCCTGTAGGGTCACAACATCGATGTCATTTTCGGTCAGCAGTTTAGATAGGTATTCACATTTGGCTCTGCTTATACCCTCTATATTTAGCTGGCAAATACGGACTGACGATCCGATAATTCTAGTCTTGGGGCTCTGAGAAGAGCTGTTTCGAGTCTGATTTGGAATAGCTTGCGAGGTCATCCTCACTAGTAGAACAGTAGAAATGTAGAAACAGTAGAAACATGTGTTTAAGGGACAGGATATAGATACAAATTGTCTGACCGCCAGCTGTGTTAGCTCTTTAGCGTTACCCAGGGTGCACCACGAGGAGGCGAGCTAACGTTGCACCCCATAAATATGTCATTTGTTACTCTTACACCAATATCATTCAGCCTATTCTGGCTTTTCAGTAGACTTCCGTTTGCCACAGTATCGAAAGTCTTAGTGAAGTCAAAAAAATGTCCATCACTCTCTAACCGTTATCAATTTTTCGTAAAATATAGTCTGTAACCCTACAAACTGCATTCTCCGTGCTCGAGTCCTCTCTAAAGACAAACTGATTTTCATCCAATAAATTATTATTTTTTAGATATATGGAGAGCTTAATACACTTTTCAATTATTTTACTAATATTACTTATTAGGGCAATCGGTCTATAGTTACTACTCAATATTTTGTCGCCACGTTTAAAAAAAGCAACAACGACTGCATCTATCACGCCATTTTTTAAACTTTTTATTTGATCTAAAATTTCATTGTCGTTCATACCTTTCTACTCTCGTAAAGGATAGGACCGACCTGATTACAATTAGCAAGTCTTCTTGCTAACTTTTTCCCAGCATTACAGAAGTAGGGGTTAAATTCTTTTTGCTATTAGATTTTTGTCAGTTATTTCAACCTTGTCACTATCTGTTTCAACATTGTCACTATCTATTATTTGTTTGATTGCAGAATTATTACTTTGATGATTTGTTGCTTCTTTAATTATTTTCCACATCCTTTTAGAATCTCTCGAGTTATTCATTAGCAATTTTTTATAGTGCAAACATTTAGCTTTTTTATTTACTTTCATAATTCGTTTCTATATTTTTTGTAATTATTTAAAATATTTAAGTTATTTTTATTCAAAACTCATTGCTTTTTCAATTTGTCTATTTAATCTTAATCTACCAATATAAGTTTGTATTTGTATTTCGAGAACAGGTTATGTTAAGATATGTAAAGGTGTTGTTTTTATGAACTTTTAAAACCTTAAAATATCGGGTAATGAACCGTAAAGTCTCTCAAAAGGATGACAGGACATTAAATTGCGCATTTTTAATTTTGCCAAAATAGTGCTCGATACAGGTTGCAGTTTCGTTTGTTTTTCTTGACTATGATTATGAACAAGGAGTATTCTTTCAGTCAAGTGGAACTTTTCAACCCACTAACTATAAAGATATCGAACAAACAACAAAACTTATTCACTATTTTATTGTAGAATAACAAAAAAAATACTTTACTTTTTTCACACGTTCATTAAAATTGTTTTTAGAACGTCGGATAGTCTCAGTCAATACATACGTCGCAACTCTGTTTTCTTTGTTTTTTCAGTAGTGGCAATATCTTCAGTTCCTCTCAGTACGAGAAAAATTGTGCTACCTGGGTTTCTTCAGCAGCTTCTGTAATTATATTTTTTAATTCTTTCTGTAAATTTGGAATAAAATAAATAATAAATAAATCTTGTCATTTTGACATCCTCGGCAAACGGATATAAACCATTTGAATGACCAATTGCTACTATAAAATAGAAAATGGTCAATGGCTAACATATTGCTCTTGTAAATACTGCATTTTTGGTAATGTGTATTTTGAGCATCAGTCAAAAACATTATTTTCGGGCCATATTTAGCCGGTGTATTTGGTATATAGATTTTATATCTGCATCGTCTTCCAAACGATATATGCTCTAATTGAATATGTTGTTTGACAGTTTGCAATAAACATTTTGTTTGACATTGCAACTGCTCTATCTTCGATTTGACGTTACTTCCACGTTAAAAAATTATTAAATCTTGGTGGCCTAGAAGCACACTGCACCTATTATAGATGTTGCAAATAATGATGTTTTGAAAATAAGACAAAACAAACAAATACCAAACAATTAATTTATTTATCTTTAGTCTCATTGTTTGGTGTTTTGCATGTTTTACTGCTCCATTTACTATGTCATTGGCGATAAACAACTCTCAGACCTGATTTTGGAATATTGATAGTATCTTATGTTTATTAACCATTATAAAGAAATTTATTATCAAAAATCATAAGATTCCTTGTCATCTGATGTTATAATTAAAAAGTCAACAGCCGGATAGATCAAGTAGTCAAGATCCCATATTTCTTCCTTTCCTTTGATCTAATGATGAGAGACTGCACTTCTTCATTGACTCGATCAAACAGTAGGTTAAAGTCTTTTATCAAAATAAATAAGAATTAAAATCGAATGTGATAAAGACACAGAAAAATATATAATTTCGTGAAAATCTGAACTTTTAGTTCTTATTTATTTTGATAAATGGATTTTCATCAAGTAAAAGCCACCTCAGTTTAATTAAAGTCTTTTATTTTCAATATTGTGTTGGGTCTTGCTACACATCCATACAAATTCTATAGTATTCTTTATCAAATCACCTGTACCATTTTTCTGTTTTTTAAGCAGTAGATAATTTGTTATTTTCTCCATTAGATTCCTCGTGAATGACAGCTTTCGTAATTCATA